TATTCTCACAGCCACTGTAACTTTAAAAACTTGCAATTTGATCCCGAAAGCATGTTTTAATTTATTTTAATTTGATATTCAAATTTAATATAAATTTATTTTAGTCACTAAATTAATAAATAGGTAAAATAGCATGTTTAGCCACTTTATTTTTAAATAATTAATTACGAATTAAGGTATTTAATTTTAATATGTTATAATTTAGTCACTAATTTTAATACTTTCATTTATTTTTAATTACAAGTTTTAAATACTTTCATTTTAATACAATTTTATTTATTTTAATCACTATTTAGTTATATTTTAATTTTATATGTTTATTTTAATATATTTAATTATTATTATTATTATTATTATTATTATTATTTATTCATATAAATATGTATATAATAAATATTATTTATTTATTTATTTTATTTTTATTTGTTTTCTATTAAATAAAAATCTTATTTATAAATTTAATTTTATATAAATTATTTTTAGGAAAAATAATCATATTTTAATATTTTTTATTTTTTAATATTAAGAAAATGACTGTCTTAAAGCATCTAGAAGTCATTTTCTGGTATTTTTAAATAACTAAATATCTTACTTTTATAAATTATATGTATATTAATTTAATTTATTTTAATTATTTTTAGAGAAATGTTTTATTAATATTTATTTATTTTTTTAATATTAAGAAAATGACTGTCTTAAAGCAACAAGAATTCATTTTCTGATATTTCTAAGTAAATAAATATCTTATTTATAAATATATATATATATAAAAGTTAATACATTTTTCTTAAAATTATAGTAATAAATTTGAAATCATAAAATTATGAATTAAATATATCTTTGAATTTTTAATTTCCAATAATGGAGATAATTTATAATTAATGAGTACTAATTTTGGGCGTTATAGGGGTGTTAATCCTTCCCTAAACGTAACCGACCACGAATCCTTTCTTTACTAAATTTTTTTTAGTTATATGCAGATCAGTTTATCTTTTAAATTATGTTTTCTTAAAAACTATTTTAAAAGATTATTTTTAGGTATTTGACCTACCTAACTCAAAAAGGTTAATGGTGACTCCCAAAATATTTTTTAAATCAAAATCATTTATTTATTCATTTTATTTTTCCCGCCAAGTAAAAATTCATACCCGGGCGAAAACCGGTTATGACAGCTTGGCAACTCCCCTAGGGACCGATCAAGCTTTGAAATTAATTATAAATTGTCTCTATCAGTTGGAAATTAAAAATTCATATTTATTTAATTTTTAATTCTTTTCTTTCAAAATTTTTATCTCTTATGATTTTCATAATATTTATTATATTTTTTATTAATGTTTTATTTTCAGGTATTAAATTTCATTTTTTATTTGTTTGTCAAAGGTTTGAAAATTTCTCCTCACACACAACACGTGCATTGCATAACATAAGCTTTATAATCAAGCTTGCCCCTTTTAAGTGGGAGTGAAAGCGACGTCTTTGTGAGAATTTATTCTCCGTGTCAGACCTAGCAAGTAGCTTTCGAGGTTCATATACTCTATGTCTTCGTGAGAATTTATTCTCCGTGTCAGGCATAGAGAAATGTGTCCCCTCGAATTGAACTCCATCCGCTTAAGTCTGTAGTGGACTAGGATTGAGGGTTTGACAGCCCAAGGGGGCATTAACAAGGACAATTCGAGTACCTTTACTCTTAGAACTGAAACTCTGCATATAGTAAACCCTAGAAATTCTTCCAATATGAAACTATGCCGAAATTTTGTCCAAAATAGGTGTACACAAAGGAGAAATGAATTCTAACTTTTTCTTTTAATTTATTTCCCTGCTGAATAAATTGCATGTGAATTTAGATTATAGTATTATTTAAATTATGCTATGTAGAAAGTATGTTTAAATAGAAATATTTGGGTAGACATTAAATTAAATTTTTCCTTCCTTATTATTTGAACTAATTCATTTCTTTTTTATGTTTTATTTTTATTTTTGTTGTTTGCATGGCATCATACATGATTAAAGGTATTGATCTTCGAGTTAATCATCTCATTGGAAAACCTTCATCTATGGATAAAAAGTGTTCAAATCAAATAGTTCCAAACTCAGAAGTAAGACAGTGGTATGAAGACTTACAAAGACAGAGGGAGACAGTCTGCAGGATGATTATGTACCAGATTTAGCAAGTTATGCTCCAGTTTTGCTAAAAAGAAATGATATTCAAGATCTGCGAGGCATTTGGGAGAGTTGGGACTCAAACAAAAAGTTGCAGTTTTATCAGTGTTACAGGGACATCACATATTTGCTCTATGTCGAAGTTGATGATGAATTACTCCGAGCTCTGATTCAATTCTGGAATCCATGGTATAATTGCTTCACTTTCAATAAGGAGGACTTGGTTCCTATTATTGAAGAGTATACAACTTTTCTACATATAGAAGGAGCTTTGGAGAATCGAAGTTATTCAAGGTCAGTCAAAACTCAACCTTTCCGAGTTAAATTAGCAAAGATTGTAGGAGTACAAGAGGAATGGGTAGTAGCCCGCACAAAAAAAAGGGCGAGGGCGAGGGTGAAGGCATTTCTTGGACCAACATCAAAGAAATCATTCAAAGTCATCCAGATGATAAAGTACGATTTGATCTCTTTGCTCTGGGTATATATGGTATGGTCATCTTCCCAAAAGTATTGGGATACATTGAAGCTATGTTGGGCATCAACGTTGACTTTCATTCAGCACAATGTGCAATGCTGAGGGAAAACAAAGAAAAAGTGGATGGTGAGTTCAAAACATTGAGGAAGAATTACCATGAGATGCAAAAATCCCGAACAGCATCGGGATCAAGGAGAGCAACAATAAAGATGACCAAAGAGTTGAACATTGAAAAATACTGAGTCGACGATTTTGAAAGGAAAAAATAGTCGTTTACTCAAAAGCCTTAAGAAATGAAATAATAAAATAGAAGATCTTGAGTTTAACAAAAGGGAGCGAATTATAAAACACAAAGCCGAAAGTTGCGAGATTATGAATGAAATACAGAAAGAAAGGGATCGAGCCAAATAATTAGAAGATATGAAGAACGGCGTGCTTGAAGGGTTTGAGGTTGAGAAAAACACCATGTTCAAGGGATTTGAAGCTGAAATGAATAATATGATTATTGAACTTGAAGATAGGGGCCTAATGATTGAAGAGTTCGATGTTGAAAAGGAAAAATGGGATTTGGAGAGAAAGAACTTCAATACCATACTCAAAGTAGAGCAAGAGTTGGCCAACAATTGGATGCAACGATGTAGAAACAAGAATGTGCAAATCCAGAAGCTTGATCAAAGGACATAAGAAACACGAACAAAACTTAAAAAGGATTTGGATCAGCGTAGAAACAAAAACATAGAGTTTAATGCTTACATCTTGCAACTTGAAGAATCATTATTCTAAGAGAGGGTTCATTTAGTACCTAGTGATCTTAAAGAGAGTTATGAGGAGAACGCTTCACTATGAACACAAATCCGATATCTTAAAATACTTTGCACAGTTGTCAAGTCAGAATCACCGAGTTGGAGAAAACTCTCGATGGAACTAATGAACAAATTATAAAAATCAACTGATTTCTATGAAGAAAGAAGTGAAAATAGAAGTAGTATGGTATTTGAGGCCATGGTACAAATGAGCGAAGTTGCTAGATATATTGCGGAGTAAGCTGCTGAAGCAAAGATTATTGAGCAACACGTTGATCCAGTTTCTATGTTTGGAAAGAAAATGTCATGGTTGATGAAGGAAATCATATAGCTTAATAGGAAAGCTATGTCGTATCTGTAGTTATGAACTATTATATAGAAACTTTTGTATGCCGATGGAAGTTGTTCTATGACAGTTAAGTTTTTGGGATCAATACCTTTTACATACATTCATTTTTGCATACATTCATTGCATTATTTTATTTATGTATAATTTTTTTACATTATGAGAAACATTCATTAAGTAAAATTTGAAAAAATAATATGAAAAGGATTTGTAATCGCAGTTATCTTGGCCAAACGAGAAATTCAACACCACTACGGTACTAGAAAAGCGACTAAGAAAATGGAGGATAAAATACAACATCTTGAGGAACAGCATAATAAAGAACAAGCAGAAATGAGAATGAAGTTAGAGAAGATTGAAGCCAACATTGCAAATTCACAAGAAAGTATGGTGCAAAAAATAGAACATATGCTCAAAAAACAAGCTACTATTGGAAAAAATCTTGAAAATCCTGTATCTTTTAACCAGGAACCTATATATCCTTTAGGTTTCACACACAAACCAGTTTATCATCCTGGTATCACACCTTTGCAAATCCATGGGGCAGCAACTATTTATGAAAGGTCACATTTGTGAAAGGCAACCTTTCATCATTTGAGCTACTTCCCATATGTTTGAGCTGAAGATGAGCTGGCCATAGATGCAATACATGTCAATGAGTCTTAGGACAGCTCCTTGTGAAATGATACTTCTCGGATTGGAAACTCTTCGCGAAAAGGTACGAATTCACAAAATTTGACCTAGACCATATTTGTAGTGCTCTATGTGGTGAAGATGATGGTGCAACTCTCCAGCTGAAAATAAGTCTCTAGCTAGCTCAAAAGTCCAGCTCAAGTGAGCTATGAGCTCGGAGGTCAGCTGACAACTTTTCATCATTTGTTCTTCATGATCTTCCGAGTCATCTTATGGAAGTTTTCCTAGCTCATTGACTCCCATGCTAGCTTTAAATCAGCTCCCAACATGTGGTCGAACATGTACCTACAAAAGAAAGCTTTTATAAGCTAAGTAATATAAAATATAAATATATAAATATGTGTTTCATAACAATAACTTCATACATTCATAATATCATCATCATAACTATAAATATAATGTATGTAAGCTATTGTCATAACTATGGTATAAAGAAAGATTAAGTTGAAAAAAATCCCCCTTTGATTATTGTGAAAGGTTAGAGATGCAAGTCCATTTTTTGACGTTGAATCGGATCATATCAAAGGTTTAGAGCACGAGACCAAAATATAGAATTCGCCCTAGCATTACAGAAATCATGCAGTATTAACCACCAAAGTTCAAAGTGCAAGGAATGTCATCATATCATAGTCAATCTCCTTCATTGTCCCACCCACCCCATTTTGAGAGAGAATAAGAAAGAGTTCATTTTGAGGAGATCCCTACCAAAGGAAATCTTCAAAGCAGACATCACTGCAAAAGAAGCATTAACAACAATTGATAATTGGAAAAAAGGAAAATAAACACACTTGATTCCTACTTTATTCGATGTAATTAATACCGACCTTTCTGAAACTCCATCAAGAGCAAGAAGTTTCTTTACCAAACCCTTCACTTTATCTTCGTACACAGAAATCAAATCCTTTTTCTATAAAACAATTACACTAACTTTCATCATCATGGGTAGTCAAATTACATGCATTTCATCTTCAAGAGAAATGTTAAACTATATGCTTATATTTACCCGCAATTCGGTTGCTCTATACAAGATTGTTCCTCTCAATTCTAGCATCTCATCATCGGTAAACCATAACGGATTCTCAAAAGTGGTGGGAAGCATATAAAGATACCTGAAACAGTCTTTAAATCCACATAAATAATAAATAAAAGAAAACTAAAAGAAAACAATCAAATATGTTAAGTACATACGATTTCCACGAAGAATTCTTTCGGAGATATTCCACTGTAAGAAATAAAATCATTAAAAACCTATCATCAACTTCTCCTTCTTGAAACATCGCTCTACACTTTGCTCCAATTAAAGGATCTTGCAAATTTATCAAATTCAACTTTGTATTATGTCAGTCTACTTGGACTAAATAGCTCTAATGAACAAATCGATAAATTTATTAGAAAATCACACAGTAGCAACTATAAATGCAGTATGGACAAAGGACTTAATGAAATGCTCTATTTGAACCAGAGATATTGCCAGTTCGAAAGTGTTTCTATCATACTCCCAAGTTCTCCTTGCCTCAAATCCCTCCCAAGAGAAAATTAGATCTTCCAGAACAAATATTAAAGATTTTAATCAGTGAAGAAAAATAAATTTAAAGGAAAATTCTTGAGAGTAAATGACAGTATACCTCAAAACATCTTCGCAGCTGATCTAACTTTCCTCTGACTATACCCTAACAAAAAGGTTGGGAAAAATAAACAAAAATCAGCACACTTTCAGTATATTTGACCACCAAAGGAAAGTTCAAATAGCTGTAGAAATAATTGTGAACAATGCAGGGCCACTCTAAAAGTTAATCGTCCCAAAAAAACAAACATGAATACAGAAACAACTGCAAAGTTCTTTCACATGCAACACATTGCATAAAAATCATCCATTGGTTCTTAGAGCCTTTCAAGGTCGTTCCAGTAGCTAAAGCATTTCATAATGGAGTAAAACCTAGGATAAAAATTAATAGAGAATTAAGTCGGGAGTCTACCCACCGCATACATGCACTCATTGATAAGAAAATCTTCAAGTTCACGAACATTGGTGACATCTAACTCCAGCATTAGTTGATCATATGGTAATACCTGGTCAAGATATTTAAATGGTAAATGAACTTGATGCAACCAACATTTACAACCGATAGTGCCATTCTCAGATAAAGGGTATAACCATTTCAGTTAGAAAGTGGAATAAAACAATTCAGAAAGGCATTAAAATTTTTCAAGATATTCTAAAGACTTGGTTTCTTCACGTTACGAAGTCAAAGTGGCACGTTCAATGAATATCAAAATAACTATAACCACTACAATGGAACGAGGCTGGCAACTATAGCATATTTAGATTATCAAATGCCCTCTTAACTCAACTACAATACCTTGTTCGTCTCAGCAAGTGTTAAGGAGAGTGAGTTGCTTTAACTTGAGAACTTGATTAGGGACCAGTTGAGGAAGGTTGCCACTATTGCCTAATCAAATAGTTTAAGCAGCCAGAGTTGGTCACATTATGATGTGAATAATAACTATAACAACAATCAAAGATAGAAATAATCAAGTGGATTAATTAAGTGAAGGGTAAAATTTAGAAGAGTAAAACTGGTAATCTTGAAGAGATTTACACGGTAGTGATAAATGTTTACTACTAATGATCTTCAAATTATCTCGAATAGAAAAAATACTGGTACAAGTGAAACAAGTGTATTGAAAACATCACAAACTTGTCACAAACAATAAAACACATGTTTTCCAGCTTACTATTGTAATCGCTCCATGTGCCATGGGTAAACAACCAAAGCACCTCCAGGTACACTGAGTTTTCAGTTTCGTCAAGCTGCAAAGGTATATAGGTTTCTTATAAATTACAAGTAAACTAAATCATCAAATTGAAATTGAAGCAATGAATAAAACTAAAACACCAGACTATATTGACAGAAAAAGAAACATGAAGAAATGTTATTAAGCTATGTGCAGCAAAAAATAACTGATGAAGGCTTTTATTTCTCAGATTGAGGAAAGTAGAGGAAAGAAAATAAAAGAAACTGATAATGGAATAGGTCTTTACCTCAGCGACGGTGGGCATGGCAAGAATCTCGGAGAAGGCAAAGAGTGAAGGATGAGACATCGCTTCGACGATAACGGAAACAAGGGTCATCCCCTTCTGAGCCGACACTTGCTTAACGAAGTGATCGATGAACTCGGCTTGCTTTTGCTCGATATCCATCTTAAAAACTTGAACCCCCGACCACAAACTAGAAGGGGGGAAAAGAAAAAGGAAATGGAAATAATTTGAAGAATGTTAGTGAAAACAAAACAAAAAACACGGAGAGAGAAGCTTTCTGGAAAATAAAGAAAGCAAGATAGGGTTTTGGCATTAGAGAGAAAAGGAGAGAATGAAAGGAGTGCAAAACATTAGGCGTGAACTGATTATGAGGGGAAGAAGCGGGAAAGGATAAAAATAATGGGGGGAAATTAAAAGACGACTTTACAGATGACACACAATAAAAAAGTGTACTTCGTGTTTTTGCAAATTTTTTGGATTATGACTATTAAATATGACACATTATTGTAAGTCCTAAATCATTCAGATTTTAAAAAACATGACATTTTTTTATGACACACATGTTTTGCAAGTCATAAATTAGTGTGTGTCATTAAAAGTATATTTTCTTGTAGTGATTATTGGTTCTTTTTTACATAAACTAGCCAGTGACCTGCTGAATTAGGTAGGGAATTATGTTGTGGTTGTTGAAGTTTTACGACACCATTTATTTGTTAGTACAATGGTTGGTGGTGTGTTCATTTAATACGATGACAATGTTGTTGTCTTATAACTACTACACTATTACAAAACATAACGATACAAATCTAGTATAATTTTCACTGTATCGATATGCATAGAATAATTATCGAACTTTTATAATTCGAATATATTATATTCGACTAATGTTAGTAATAAATTTGAATTTGACGTGTTTCAATATGCATATCATGCTTATCAAACTTCTATATAATTCGAATATTTTATTTGAAATTTAAGTTAATTATAATATACCAAAACTTCTGAAGGAACGTCCAATACAATTAATTTCGATTGGTTGTGCACATAATTTTCCAAATAATGTGTCGATAGTTTTATGATCAATATCGATTTTAATATAACAAACCGGTTTGCACCTTTTTATATAACAACATATATCACCTTTTGCCAACCGTGTAAGTTTTATGTGTGGAACATGTTTCATTATGGAAATGTAAGACAAAACAAGGTTATATTTATAACAATATCGGTAGCGACTTCTTATAGTGTCCATTGTTTACTTGATATGTTTGAAACCTTTATTATTAAGAAACTATGAGAGAAAACATGTTTAAATTTATAACAATACAGGTAGTGCTTTTTTATATTGTTAACTATTTATATTATATGTGTCAAACATTTTTCATGATGGTTATGTAATACAAAACATGGTTATATTTATAACAATACATATAATGCCTTTTTATAGTGTTAACAGTTTACGTGATGTGTTAAAAACCTATTTTATTAATGCACTATAAGAAAAAACATGCTTAAATTTATAACATTACAAGTAGCATCTTTTTATATTGTCAATCGTTTAAGTTATATGTGTGACTAAACATGGTTATATTTATAACAATACAGGTAGTGCCTTTTTTTACTGCCAATGATTTACCTGATAAGTTTGAAACCTTTTTGATTAAGAAACTGTAAGAGAAAACGTGTAAATTTATAACAAAGCAAGTAGCGCCTTTTTATATTGTCAACCATTTAAATTATATGTGTGAAGCATTTTTCATTATAGTTATGTAAGAAAAAATATGGTTATATTTATAACAATGCATGTAGCGTCTTTTAATATTGTCAAACATTTAGGTTACAGGGAATGACCCGTTTATATTATTAAATTTAATATAAATTCATTTTTTATTATAATGTAATTGGTTTCTATTTAGTACATATATACTGATATTAAATACATAAATATCGATAATTTCAAAATGATTTAAATTTTATTGTTTTCATTGGAAAAATCTTAACTATTTCCTCGTCCTGCCAATAACCTCCCGCCCACCTGATAAATAATCTTCATCCCATGTAACGTCACACACACCCAAAAAATTACAATCTTTTCCCAACATTAGTTTTTCTCCCGGTCGATTATGCATGAGAGAAATCTCTCTCTCTCTCTCATTTTTGCAGGATATCCATAGCTTTTTGTTGCAACAAATAAATTGGAAGTCTTTTAGAAGAATTCTAGCTATTTGTTATGGTTAAGAGTTTACAATTTAAGGTGGCAAGCTTGTCATTGTGTTATAAGATTGTGGTTGTGGATATATATGTTGTAATAATTTTTCCCTTTTGTCTTATATCAATATCATTATGCTGCAACACATACATTGCAATTGTAACACTGAGGAAATCATGTGACTGTGTAACAGTAAATGTTCCATTTCATAGACAGTAAAGATCAATTTCTTTCTTACTTTCCCGTGAAATTTGAGGAACACAATAAAGATTTCATTACTTGATCAATCAAATTCTGACTTTCTCGTGAACCTAGTTCAACTTTAAATACATCGTGCATGTGAGTAAAAGCCTATCATGATTCTTTAATTGTAAAGAAACTAAATTTGTAATTTACCAAAATTTTCACATGAAAGCATCGACACTCTAACCATTTGTATTAAAATTTTCATCTGATATCATAAATATTTTTAACCAAAATTATTGATCATCGTGCATTAAGTATCGATATTGAAAAGATTGACCTGATTTATTGTATTATTATAAAGTATTAAAAAATCTAGTTACTCAAGCAACATATCCGATTGCGTCTTCATGTTATTTTAACTAGGTAAGTTAAAGGTTGTCATTGTGTATATTATGAAAACCTTACACAAAACTAGTTTGTTGGATAACATTATAGGTTGTGCCTTGTTCTTTTAATAACTGGTTAACTTATATGCAAAAACCGTGTATATTATAAAAACATAAAACAAACCTAATTTTCTGGATAACATTATAGGTTGTGC